AATTGCCAATACATTACCTTATACCTAACCGAAGTCCCAGATCAATTGGTGTTTGTCCCCATTACAGCTCTGGATAGGAGAAAATTAGATCTATTTTATTATTGCAATGATGCACCTAAGCTACATTACTTGTTCATAGACCGTTGTAGATTAAAATCATTCATTTTCCAGTCAGCTCATCCTTTATAGGAACTTAGACATGGAAGAGATGTACACTTGTTAATATTTCACCTACCAGTAGCATACAGATTATTTTTTTGTTCCTCTTTAAGATTTATTTGAGCTGTGTCTGTTAATATGATTTCTTTTACCTCGATAAAGTATATTATTATTATTATTATTATACAGGATTTATATAGCGCCAACAGTTTGCGCAGCGCTTTACAATATAGGGCAGACATTACAATCACAATACAATTCAAGACAAGATGGTAAGGAGGGCCCTGCCCCTGAGGGCTTACAATCTAAAAGGCAGGGGGAAGTGATACATGAGGAGGGAGCTGCGTGGGGATGAATTGTTTGAGAACGTGATAGTCGAGCGGTTAGGTTGAGGTGGGATAGGTTTCCCTGAAGAGATGAGTCTTTAGGGATCGCCTAAAGGCAGTCAAGGTGGGCGACAGACGGACAGGTTGGGGTAAATAATTCCAGAGGATGGGAGAGACTCTAGAGAAGTCCTGGAGGCGAGCATAGTTTCAGTTATGCTGTAGGAAATAACATGCAAATTTTGTGGCTTGAGACACCATCCCACGTCATCTTTTTCTCTCTGCTGCTTCATTCTTGAATTTCTTTTTGTATACTAATCAAGATAACACAAGTAAGAATGGAGTGCACGTCTTATGAATGATATCCCTGGTACTTCCCATATTTCAGCAATCACTGATGAATCACAGCTAAAATATATACATGTATATCCTCAGCAGCACTATGATGGCAGCTCCTGGAACAGAACACAAATTGATATTTCAATTCTTTGTCGAAAGAAATGATCAAAGAATAATTAAAGTGAATTCATGTGATTGCAAGAGAGAGAACAATATCTCCAGAATTACAAATATTTGTATCTCTGACAACTTTGTTTTCTATACCAAGTGAGTGTTCTCTTTCAAAGCGACATTTACCTCTTCAGCTGGAAACATTGGAATCGGCTGTATAGGTGACTTTTTGATCCAGTCTCGGTTTCTAATCAGCTCTTTGTCTTCTGGAGACCCTAATCATATGCTGTGCCAGTAAGGATCCCATTTCCCAATATTGATGGGGACCTTGGTCGGGCCACGTCCTAGACAACAGCTAGACACCATTGTAATGAAGATTAAGAAAATGGGTTTAATATTAAACGCACGCCTACCAGCAGAAAAGCATTGATTTGATTGGATCTACTTTGAGTAGATACAAATAGTTACATATAGTAATGTTCATAAGAGTCAATGTGTGAGATAAAGACGGAACTGCAGTAAGATGAGAAAATATGAAAAAAAAACTGAATTGTTGCTGGAACAGTTCAGAGGGAAAGGTAACCAGAGGAACTTTTCACACAAAACTTCATCTAATAAGAAACAGAAATAGAGAAAAGTCTGAGAAGATGGGGTTTTCTATATTCTCTGTGCCTTATCAGCACACTCTGATAAGGTACAGAGACTTGTAAAGAAACACTGGCTGATTCTAAAGGGAATGAAAATTGTAGGAAGCTTATTACCAGAAAGAGAACACATTTTACCTTTACTATAATGCTCATAATATGGCATTCAAAATTGCTCCCACAATGAAGAAAACATCAAAAATCAGGAAGTATTAATCAATTACTAGAAAGGGACTTTTAAAATGTGGGAAATGTATGGCATGGAAATGTACAACAACAAAAAACATCCTTGAGGAGAAAGAAACACAAATTTGTATCTAGAAGATACTTTTGAGAGTTAAAAATTGTTGACCTGTTGTACCAAAGTAGTTATTTTTTGCATACAATGTCTGTACAACAAACAGTATGTATGCTGCGCAGAGCACCTACTTTAAAATCCGTATGAGGGAAAATGTCTATGGTATTATGAAAGGGAAGAAAAAGCGCCCCCTGTATGATCACTATAGATTGAAACATAATAGGGATATTCAAGGTTCTGATTGTTGGGTAATTGAAAAAGTACAGAAAGATTTAAAGAAGGGGATGATATTTAACAGACCTCCTAAAAGTGGATCCAAATTAATTTTTACCATGAATTTACTGATATCTTGGGGATTAAAACTGAAGTGGAACTTTTTGCATATAATAAATGATCGATCAAAAGCGTATCATTTATGTTTTTTATACTTCATTTTATTGTACGGTATTAATAATAAAGCTGTTTTTATTCAAACATATACTGTATACATTGCAACCTTAGTATTGAAACCTTTTAACTTGTGATAGAAAAAGGCAGAAGGATTGCTTCTACAGATAAAACATGCACTTCCAATGTGCACAAGGTGTTAAAACAGCAGGAGGTTAAATCCACAAAGTCCATAATCCATGAGTCCATAATTCGTGGCAGCTTGTTCCTAACGAAGGGGTACAGACCTTTCAACATAAAATGCGTTGGCTTATAGCTGGGTTCTTCAGTATTCATGCATAGCCTCTCACCTTGCACCGCAAACTCACTGGCTGTGAATGAGAAGTTCTAAACTGCACTAACCCACTAGGAGCACTTGCAGCCAACTCCATTACTAGGACTCTGTATTGGGATCCTTACTGGCGCAGCATAGCAATAGTATCCCAGGAAGACAATGAAATGAGTAGATACAATTAACTAATCCAAATGCCACCAACATTGCTGATTCCAGCATTTCCAAGTGAAGAGGTAAATCTTGCTTTAAAATAAAGTTCACTTGATAAATAAATTAAAGTTATTACACTTACAAATACTTTTCATTCTTGAGACATTTTTACTTCTCTGGCAAGCACAGGAAATCTCTTAAAGTGTAATCTATTGACCAAGTAGCCATGCCCACATTACCTCTATATTACAAATCTATTTCTCTGCATTATTATCACATGTCCACCTGGTGTATTATCCATAGGATTATATGAGCTGAAGACGTAATATAACGTTTTACAGTTGCTGCAGGAGGTAGACGACTCATGATCTCAGAAAGGGGGAGAATGTCCTTCCTGGGGTTCCAGAAATAATCAAAGTTGTTGTTTTACGCCATCAGATTCTTCATTTATGTTGCTGTGCCCCTTCAGCTTTTGAATAAGGTGTCACTTATTCAGCAAGACTCTAATACTCCTTAGAATAAACCTGTCACAGTTCCAGGCAGAGGAAACCGGGTTTAGTGAAAAAATGCTTCCTTCAGTCAAAAATGGTTGTCAAAATGATTAGTCAAGCCAGAGATATGGGAAGCTGCAGATTGAAGGAAATCCTGAGTTTTAGCCTGGCTCCTGATTAGATCTTTCAGGCTGGACTTCAGGCAAACAGCTAAATACACAGTTAAAATGCAAATGCAAACCACAATTTTCTTGTTAAAGTGAATGAATACAGTGATGCCGCCTACCTGTTTGCAGGTTGCTTAGTGGAAAACACAGAAACACATAGATAAGTCATTAAAGGAGAACTATGAGTTGAGTGAAAATCACTCAGCCTCATAGTTCAAGCCGATGTGTGACAATGAAACTGTCACACGTCGACTCAATAGATCGGGAAGTGAGCGAACACATACCGGCGTTCGCTCACTTCTCGATCCTGTCCCTGCAGAGAGCCGTGACTCACTCACGGCTCCCTGCAGGGATTCCCCCCTTCCCTCTCCGATCCACCAGCGCTGACTGGCGGAACGGACGGGGGAGGGGGCGGGTACAGCTGGCTCTGCCTCTAGATAGGCAGAGCCAGCTGTCAATCACGCAGCTGGGTGGATCCGGGAAGTAATGTCGGGATCCGTCCCGGCTGCGGCGGTCTCGAGCTGTAGCTCGCGGTATACTGAGCTTTGGGTCACAGGAGGACACTAGTTTGTGTCCTCCCGTTACCCTGGGGAGAACTATGGGGAAAAGCACTGACCCCATAGTTCTCCTTTAACTTTGCTTGTTGTGCTGTTTGGCTGCTGTGCAAGGGATGAGAGGAGGCTAATATCGTGACAGATTTCAGTATACACGTTCTGTATAAAAAATAAATAAATTTGTTACACAACTGCAAAAATGAAGGGTTTTTATGTGTGAGTATCTGGCTGGAGATTAGGCCTTAGTTCAATAATTGGCCTCATTACCAATAGAAATGCTCAGGAATGTAGGAGTGGGTAAGGTCAAGCTTGACTTTTAAAAGAAACTGCATATATTTTCAGCGTCCAATAACTCTGGATTGGTTGATCATTTTGACATACATATTGTACTGAAGGTGACATTTCCCCTGTTCCTCAGGTTTGTAACATATTTTCTTATGTGTAAACCAAACATAGCACTTATGGGTTCCCTGGTTTTACAATGAGCTTGCTATTGTAAAAAGTACAAATAAGCTTGGAGAAGATGAACAAATGATGAGAAGACTAACCAGCAGTTTATGTGAATGTGCAGGTCAAACTTTAATTGTCTTTTTGTGCTTCCCCAACCAGTTTTATTGCAATGGAGGTCCAGAAGAAAGTTACGATTTCTCTCCATATATAAAGTCTAAAGATCTTGAACCAGAAATACGTAAGTATTTGCTTGTTCTACATCAGTGACTTAGCAAGTATTGAAGCCAGTTAGCATTTTTCAGAAGGTCCGGTAGAAAGTTCTGTTGTGCAATTTTTTTGCAATGATATTATTTCAAAGTAAACTAAATTCACAGTGGGGGGAATTTATTAAAAATGGAACAGGCAGAATCCAGAGCAGCTGCTCATAGTGACCAATCAGCTTCCATCATTAGTTTGTTTAGTTAAAGGAGAACTATGGGGTTAGGGCTTTTCCCGATAGTTCTACTAAGGGTAATGGGAGGACACAAACTAGCATCCTCCCATCATCCTAAGCTCAGTATACCGCGAGCTACAGCTGAGACGACGCAGCTGAAGCGGATCCCGACAATTATGTCTGGATCCGCCCAGCTGCGTGAGTGACAGCTGGCTCTGCCCATCTAGAGGCATAGCCAGCTGTACCCGCCCCCTCCCCCGTCCGTTCCGCCAGTCAGCGCTGGTGGATCAGAGCGGGGAGGGGGGAATCCAGCCACTCCCTGGTCACGGGAGAGAGCTGTGACAGGATCGAGAAGTAAGCGAACGCCGGTATGTGTTCGCTCACTTCTCGATCTACTGAGCCGACCTGTGACAGTCTCATTGTCACAGCTCGGCTAGAACTATGAGGTGAGGGAAAAGCACTCACCTCATAGTTCTCCTTTAAGCTTTGAAAATGAAAGAGAGAAGCTGATTGGTTGTCATACACAGCTGCTCCAGATTCTGTCTGCTCCAGTTTGAATAAATTCCCCTCGTGTACCATTTGCCTGGTGTGAACGCAATAAAATGATGGTTATTCAGAACCAGCAGTTTTTGAGAAGTGCCTGTACTGGCTAATGAGAGATAGAGAAATGTATTTTAGTAGCACAGTCTTTGAAATCTTAGCTTTATTCCATGAGAACAGATCTTGCCAGCCTTCTAAATAACCAGCAAGGGTTTCTAAGCTGTTAAAAATCAACTAAACGTGACTTTAGAGTGTTTGTTCTGATCTTTGAGGATCTCTGAGAATGAATCACTTCACATTACGGGCTCATTCACAGGGCCACAGAGGGCTGTACACTATCTACCATTCTTCTTTCTGAAAGGGATGGATTAGTTAGGAACTTGAGTAAATATGACCTTTAATATTCAGCTGTTGGCTATGTAACCTAAATTTGGGTGTAGAAATCAAGACATCTGAAAGCAATAATGCTCTTGTAGTCCTGTCACATAAGCTATATGTTGCCTGTTGTTTTGTGTCACTTTGTAGGATGTTCTTTGCAGTGCCACATACTAAAAAGGCTGCTTCAAACAAGAGTTCAATTTACTCACATGAATTCAACATTTAACAGCTGCCCCGAGTATCATTATTTTACCTTGACTATGTGTTTATCTGACTTTTTTCTCATTTCCTTTCAGTAAATGGTCCATACCTGGCAATCGTAGAGCAACCCAAACAGGTAGGTGCAATGCTGTACAGTCATTTTGATCATTTGTCTTTTTCTGAAATCATAGATTGTCAGCAACACAAAATCTCAAGATTATCGTTCTTTATTGAACTGGAACCAGAGTGGGTGCATTTATACATCATTGTTAGTGACACCAGAGGGGGATGACCCTATACCTTAATCTAACTCCAAGACGGTGCCCTTGACACCCCTTGTAGTCAACCCCTAAAACAGGAATCAACAACAAGTTGATCGCGATCTACGTGTTGTTCACAGACATATAGTGGGTAGATTGCGACTCCTGGGGGGACTTCCCTCACTGTGCTTCTGATCTCTGCGCTGTGTTGCGTATTACTGACCTCTGCACTGTGCGTTAAATATTATTGACCCCTGAACACTGCGGTACTTACTACTGACCTATTTCTTATTTACGCCTGACCACTTCAGTCTGCACTACTTACTCCTGACCCCGGCACTCTACGTTACATACTACTGACCTCTGAAATTTGCATTACTTAATACTGACCTCAGAACTGTGTCTTGCATACTATTTCAGAACGCTGTGTTACATACTATTCAGATCTCTGAGTGACCTTACCCTGACCACTGCATTCTGTATTGCATACTACTGACCCCTAACTCTACGTTACTTACTCCAGACCCTGCACTGTGCATTACTCTTGCCTTAAGCACTCTGACCCTTGAACTCTTTAAACCTTCCTTTTTAATGGGGCCTAGATAGGTTATCTCTTAAAAAAAACCTGATGCTGTTCAGGTAGATCTCCACCTTTTCAGGGTTCCCTACCCTAAAATGAATGCTTGCATCAGTTCCTTAAGTGTTGTAGCAAATGCTCCTGTTAAAGAAATCAATAATTATTTAATTTATATTATAACATTTATTTTAAAAAAAATCTGGTCCTTTGGGTGGTCAGTGTTAGTCTTCCATGCTAAGTTGATTATTTTTAGATTTCATTTCTTGAAGACACATCTGCAAGTAGCATTTTGCTTGTGATGTCATTGGCCAACACATACAAGTAAAATGCTTACAAGTGAAATACTTCTACAAAAGGTTGTGTATCTGTGAAAAGTTGAGAACATTTGTTCAATGTATAACCGGCTAATAAATTGACCTTTACAGCGTGGCTTTCGGTTTCGCTATGTATGTGAGGGACCATCTCATGGTGGACTACCTGGGGCATCCAGCGAGAAAGGAAAGAAAACATATCCAACAGTTAAAGTGAGTGTCACATATGGGATTTGCCCAAAACCGCTATTTCAGTTTTGTGTGCTGACTTCTTGTATATCTCGATTTGAGTGCTGGGAAAAGTTTTAGGAATTCCATTTGTACCCAGTCACCACAATTACTGAAAAGACAAATGAGGTTTCTCTGGGTTCTTTCAAATGACGTTTACACAAACAACTTGGGAATTTAGCTGCAAGAAAGTGGCCCTTTATTACCCAATGGGATTAGTCACACCACTGGATCTAAGAAAACAGGGGTTGATTCCCCCAGTGCACACCCAATGTCTGTTTTGGGTGAAGTTGCTGAAAATATATAATAATATTTTGCTTGGTGGTAGAAGTCCTGAATGACATCGCACTGAGGGAAGCAGCTGTTTGTCTTTACTTTATTCATTATAGCCGTAGTAGGTAAACGTGGTTTCCCATTTTTGTTTCTCATATTTCTTGTATCTTTATTACAGATCTTTAATTATGTAGGCCTGGCCAAGATTGAAGTGGATTTGGTTACACACACAGACCCGCCACGTGTTCATGCTCACAGCCTTGTTGGAAAATATGCTAATAATACAGGAAGTTGTGAGGTGACTGTAGGACCAAAAGACATGACCGCTCAGTACGTTTGTCTACAAATGAGATTTATTCTCTCTGACCTACCTGCTCTTTTTTCCCATTTATAGAGGATACAGTGATATCTTGGGGTTGATTTACTAACCTTACAACACACCACGAACATGTATACACACTACCTCTGTAGTGTGTTCCCTCCCAGCATGATCTATGGGTGGAATCTAGACACCTTTGTAGTGTGTACACACCCAGCAGGTGTGTTGTGCAAAGCCCTGCATGAATTGCAAGGTGATGTTGTGTAAATTAGCTCTATGTTGTGTTGCTTGCATTGATGAATGCAGGAATGTAAATGCATGAGCTAACCATTTTTGTCTAAACTGTGAAGCAGCATTATATATGCATCCTGTGCATGATTTCTCCATATATGGCATTAGTGGAAATATGCTTTTAGAGACTTTTTGGTTGATAAATATGTTTTGCTGTGTGAAAATCACACGCACCTGGTGCGTGCGTGTGTTTAGGTTAGTAAATCACCCCTCTTGTCTTACTTGAATGTGTAACATAAATTTCTGTAGCGATATTTTAATGTTTCTGTTGCTCAGTGTGGCGTGCTTGTTGTATTAATGCCGCTATTGTGTGCTAATTTAGTGTTTTCTTGGTAAGATGGATTATTGCAAACTCTTTCCACTATCACTGCTTTCTGCCCATGCGATAGACAGGTGCAGATATTTAACTTAATATGTTCTGTATTTGTGTTCAGGTTTAATAACTTAGGGATTGTCCATGTCACAAAAAAGAGTCAGATTGAAATACTGAAGGAAAAGATAAAGCAGCAAATCGAGAGAATGCGTACTTTTACAGGTAACACACCGAACCTTTTTTACATAGGCTGTTGTTCTTGTTCTTATCTACAGTTATGTCTTTCTCTGACAATACATGAAAACCTTTTAACAATGTGTCATGTGGTAATCAAAGTTAACCTTTTCTAACGAAAATTAAATCCAAGACTGGAGCAAGTGAAAATGTAACGCAGTTTTTTTTATCATGATGGTCTTATTCTTTTACAGAACAAGATGAGAAAAATTTAGATGCAGAAGTAAAAGATCTGAAGAAAGTGACAGACTTGAGCATTGTCCGGCTTCGGTTTACAGCATATTTGCCAGACAGCACTGGTGCTTACACTCTCCGTTTGAAGCCAGTCATTTCTGATCCTATCCATGACAGCAGTGAGTGATTTGATTTATGCACTCTGTAATACAGAATCTTTTTTGGAACAACTGTGATGCCAACATGCAAGTTTGCTTTTGTCTCTATTTTGGCCAGTCGGGTTTACACCTGAACAAGCTAAGCCAGGGTTGTGGGGGGGGACATACAAACATACATATGTTCCCTGGTTCAGTCATGGAAGTTTTAAAAAAGAAAAATGCTGGGAGGTAGGGATTTTTGTCTGAAGTCTCTTCTGCCAAAAACACATACATCTTTCCCCCAGCATTTATTTTATTCTTTGTGCACACTGTATAGCGCATTCACCATACAGTGGGCACACTCGGCTCATTCAAGGCATCTCTAACATGCCATGAATGGGTGTGGTGCCGGGGAGGATGTAACTTTGTTTGCATGCACATTCATTACATCATGAGAGAATTTGCACAGAACCCCGAAGTGGCAGCAGCAGGGGCCAGAGCTGTGGACTGAAAATGGGTCCAGCGGCACCTATCTTCGACGGTATGCTGCGCATACTTGCACATTATGGCAAAACAGCCACCCTTCACAAAGCTAAAAGCTAGCTTAAAGCTAAAATACACAAAGTAATGCAGATATGTAATCATTAATACATCAGTAAATGTATTATTTAAATATAAGCACTGTAAGTACCTGAATTTGACTTAGTATCAGCCTCTTGTAATCCTATAACACAGAACTCGCACTAGGGGAGGGAGACGCAGCACAAGGAGCCAGGCAGCTGCACGGCAGTTCTCGTGCTAACAAGAAACACTTGTTTCTTATAAACCTAAACGAATGCTGATATTAGCAGAGTCACAGAGGGAAGAGTCCCTCATTGTGCTGCTTCTCCTTTCACAGCCTGAGAAACATACACGCTGTTCAGAAAAACAAGAACAGGAAATACAGGCAGCAACATATCTGCCATCCTGGGTTCAATCTCAGACAAGATTAGACCAGCCAAAGGTGATAAGGCATACTGACATCCATAAACCTGTCCATTGAAAGTGGATGGTGGTATGCTCCAGGAATAATGGTGTAGACATAGAACCAATACATATTAGAGAGGGTGGATCTCCCCAAAGGGGGGCACAGACCGCATTAAAATTTGGCAGAGGTTCTAACCATTCAACACTATGGGGTCTATTCACTATGCTGCCGAGGGCAGCCGGGTGAATGACCGATCAGAAGTGAAGTGAGCCGAACACTGTTCGGCTATTCACTTCAGGCTGGTATGCTCAGCATGTTCGGCCGACCCGAAGTGCAGAAGGAGTTCGACTCAGCCGATCCAACATCTGGATCGGCTGAGCCAAACCTCCGGCAGGCTACTCACTGCTGTTCGGGCTATTCTTAAAGATCCCGAACAGCAGTGAGTGAATAGCTGAATGCCGCTGAGCGGCATTCGGCTAGGCTGTTCTGCTCGGTCCCTCAGAGGCACCGAGCAGAACAGAAAAACAGTGAAAAAAGTTTAAAAAACGTAAATAGCAAACGATTGTGCGTAGCTAGCAGTGACAGCTAGCTCCGCCCAATAGTTTCCTATTATCCGGCGGCTCTGCTGCTGTGAAAAAAAATGATCGGCCGAAGCTACGGCCAGATCCTTCGGCAGCTTCGTGAATAGACCCCCTATGACTAAAACTAGGAATAAATGTTGCGGCATGATAGCCTGTGCCCAAACTATGCACACTAAAGTATGTACATGTTCTGAACAAGCAAGGGAGAAGAGGCTGTGGGGACCAGTTTAGCAGCCACACAGGACCGAGGATCAGATGATTATATCTTCTTTATTTTTGTCCCTAGATCAAAATGAGCACCTAACCCTTGCAGTGTGGGGGTAGCCCCACTGCAGGGGTTAAATTGGAATACATCCTGGAGTTCTTCTTTAAGAGTCTTTGTTCAGATCTTGGAGAATGAACTACTTCATGATACATGCAGCTACAGAAGTCAGTCACTTTTTTTTTTAAAGCTCTTTTATTGCTTAATAATAAGTACATAATTTGATGTCCACAGTCTGGGTACAGTTACCCTGTAAGCATCACATGTGTAAAACACTACAACTGGAAAGGGTTGCTAAGCGGGTAGTGCTAACAGAATAAAAGATGACTGCACTGCTCACTGGAATAGCGTCTATCATCTCAGCAAGGGGTTTCCCCAGTAAAAATTACATGTCTGACCTGAAACTGATCTAGCAAATCTCTTACCGCATTACAGAGGAAATGATGGTCACTTCCACTTTTTAGAAAGGCCTAAAAATAAAAGGTGCTGCATTGGTGCACAGCGAACCCTGAGCACACTCCAGTATCATGCTGATTAAAGGACCAAACATGACGGTGTTTTGTTAATGATCATTTGTATTGGTTGTATGAGTACATGAGCACAAGCATTGAAAGACATATGTGCTGAACCGGTGTGATGTATATTGCTTCTGCCACTATTCTGATTAGACTATATTTTTTTTTGGGGGGGAAGCTACCATGCTTGTCCTCTTGTTGGAGGTCTTAGTGGTGTTAGGTAAGATATTTCTGGTTTGTTGTTTCTCTTTATAAAGGTAACAACATTTCTTAAATCCAATCTTTGCCTAGGCAAGTCAGCAGGTTCAATGTAATGCTTCCCTCCCGCCAGCGCTCCGTACTCACCTTCTTTGTTCCCCTGCCGTTCTATGCCACTGCCATGAGCAGGAGAAGCCACCCTTAGTAAGCTATGAGTAGCTCAAGTCGTAGCTTACACTGGGCTATAAACTCTCCCTTTATGACTTAACATGGAGTGAGTTGTATCCTTCTCCATATCCACATACCGGTATCCTGCGTATTCTCTTTGCTCCAGCAGTTTGGAAGCACAGGAAAGTATGTGCTACTGAGGAGGGGGGGATAAGGCAAATCTATGTTAAAGAGAAAAAAAAGAAAACCTGTTGTGTGAAAAGCACCGCACAAGCTGTTGTTTGTATACACATCTCTGTTCATCTGTCTCTCACTCACAGTTGATATGTCAGCTTTGGGTAGATGTATTTCAGGTACATTAATGGAGTTTCATATTGGCTTTACATTTATAGCACATAGAAAGAAGTCGGTGTAATAAGATTCATAATGTATCTGTTTCCTTCACTGAATGATTCCTGGCACTGGCTTCTTACTGAAATAACGTCTCACCGCAGCATTAGGAATCTTTCTGTCTGTGAAGGTTCTCATTCATCCAGGTCATGGTATATCTGTAAAAAATAAGTCAAGGCAACTGGACTTGCTGTATTTTTTTTTCCTTGAAGACTATGCACTGGTCATCTGAATTGAGAAAGCTGGTTGGATGGCCAGTGAAACGTCTTCAAGAAAAATACAGCAAGTCCAGTTGCCTTGATTATTTTTTACAGATATACCATGTGACCTGGATGAATGAGAACCTTCACAGACATACAGATGCATAATGCTGCAGTGAGACCTTATTTCAGTAAGAAGCCAGTGCCAGGAATCATTCAGTGAAGGAAACTTTGGGGGTCTTTTACAAACGCTAGCAACGCAGCAGTTGAAAATCAAATCAATAGGAAAAAATTGCAGAAAATTCAAAAATGGCTTGGCCAGCTGATTTGAAAAATGTTCCGGAGGGCATGGCAGCGAAAGGGTTAAGGGCTGACCCTTTAGTTATGCAACAGAAAGTTCTAGTAAGAACCAGTACTAGTTTGACTTGAGGGACCTCTAGTGGCTGCAGGACTAAAGGCAGCTGAGTGTTTAGGAAGCAGCACAGTAACAATACAAACAGTATTTTCTCATGTATCCTGTGCTAGATTGAATTTGTTATACATACCAAAGTGCTATAAATATGAACAATGATCTCGTGTATTATTGTACACATGTATTGTAGATTGCATTGTCACTATATTCCTATTTTATTGTATGTAGAATCTCCTGGAGCGTCCAACCTGCGTATTTCACGAATGGACAGGACTGCGGGCTCTGTAAAAGGAGGAGACGAGGTGTACTTACTCTGTGATAAAGTGCAGAAAGGTACTTTGTACTACTGTTTTCTGTGCTTTTAAAGTATTTCAAATAATTTCACAACACAAAGTTTAGCTTGCTTTGAGAATTTGTGATGCAATATGGGGTTCTAAGAACAGCTTGAACTGATGAAGAGGGTTTACTTCTCATTGGTATGTATGTAAGGCTACTCGGCTAGTGGCCATGTGTAATGGCATATTGCCACCATACAGGTGTGCTGCATAAAGACATAGAGATGGTTTGCCACATGGTAGGTAAGAGTCCCCTCCTGGTGTTCAATGTTACACAAAGCCTACAGCAGGGGTTGGGCAAATGAATCTGGAATCCAGGAGCCAGCAGGATTTTTTTTGGAAGCCAGCTCCATTGACAACAAATAGAGAACAATGCAAGAATTAGGCACCAACTGTGATTTTAAGGAGCATTGGCTACCTGGCTCCTGGGATCTGTCCAGCTGTGGCCTAAGAGCAGTCAAACATGGACAGTATTTGATGGCAGCTTAATATATGTATTAACAGATAAGCAGTAATCCATGTTCAGACCTTAAAGCAATTTCCACTCTCAGAAAGTTCTCAGCCTCTTGCATTTCCTTAGCTGGAATAACAGAACAGTAAATGAATACATGTTATATACTTTTAGCTGTTGGGAACATTTAATATAGTGTAGATATGCTCACTTTGTATCCACATTCTGCTTCTCTCCTGCAGATGACATAGAAGTGCGGTTTTATGAGGATGATGATAATGCATGGCAGGCATATGGGGACTTTGCACCAACAGATGTCCACAAGCAGGTATCTTGGATCCCCTGATACAGTATGTCCAGATTGCAGGTTTTGTTGTAACCGGCTTTGTGACCGGAGGGATGGAAGTGTAAACTTGTATGTCTTATAGTAAAGCCATGAAAGCCGAAATGATAAAACATGATATTTAAAGGTTATTTCTAACAAATAAAATTTAATCAACAACTCCCTTCAGGCAGGTTTTTATTTATTTAGTTATCAGGGGTTTTTCCCTAACCTTCTGTGTCACCTAGACAGGAAGTGAGCAAAATTTCTCCTGAACAGTAACATAAAATGTTTTTGGTTTTTTTTTTGTTTGGTTTGGGTTTTTTTTGTTATCTACTTGCTCATTTGGGGAGATCTCCTCACATTGTGTGTGGTCACCAGGACAGGAATTGAGGGGAAATCTTCCCTACAGGTTACTTAAATAAGGTCACTCGCACACTCATGATGCCAGTGACCTTATTCGAGTATCCTTGGATTAGCAGTGGCACCTGCAGTCACCTCAGCACCCACCCAAAAGCTTTGGGTTTATTTTGGTCAGGAGTGTGATAAAAAAGACTGACATAGTTTACAAATATTTTTCCCACGCTAACCAAACCTAAAAAAATGTGTTTTGGCGGGAGATAGGTGGAAAGCACATGGATTATTTATTTATTGATTACAGGTATTTATATAGCGCCGACAATTTACGCAGCACTTTACATAGTTGCACATTCACATCAGTCCCTACCCTCAAGGAGCTTACAATCTAAGGTCCCTTTCTCACATGCAGACATAGAGGGCCAACTTAGAGAGGAGTCATAACTAGCTCACTGTTTGCAGGTACCTGTTCTGAGTCTTAATTCACTTTCATAGTGTTCAGGGCCCTGTAATGAAACCGGCAGTTTGCAAGCTGTCTCTGATAGCAAAGTTGAATATGTTGATAAAATGCAAGTTTAAAGACTGATGTATTCTTTTTATGGTTCAGTATGCCATTGTGTTCCGCACTCCTCCATACCGCAAGCTGCAAATTGACCGCCCAGTGACGGTGTTCTTGCAACTAAAGCGAAGACGTGGCGGAGATGTCAGTGACTCCAAGCAATTTACTTACTACCCCTTGGATCAAGGTAATTCATTATGATGTCATGCACCATGAAAATTGGATCGTTTGTTTGCGGCTCTAATAACGTATTTTGTTTTGCAGACAAAGAAGAAGTGGAGAGAAAAAGGAGAAAAGATATTCCTTCACTAAATCACAACTTTGGTGGAGGAGCACCCATGGGGGGTGCAGGAGGAGGAGGCGGAGGCTCTGGCTCTGGAGGGTTTGGGCATGCAGGAGGTAGGTGTGCTCAGTAATTCCGTTGGATGTGCTGTGTTTTTCAGTGCCACCTTTTTACACATTCACATGACATGTTCCTCTAAGAGCCTTACATTTTGTGTGTGTTTTTTTACATTTGGATTTTGGTGACTTTTTCTGACTGCATGTTTTTGTGTCATACTTTATAAGGTAACAATATGAATTACCACTATGGAGGCATGCATACTGCTTTCTATCCACCTGCCGGCCAAGTCTACCAGGGGGGTGCATACTCGATGAAAGCTGACTCTTCTGAGACGTCACCCCAGCCAGTAAACATTAAGAAAGAGGCTGAAGAGGTCACATGCAGTCCCACACAGGAAAATGTTCCATCTCTCCAGAGAGAACACCAAGAGACCATACGTCAAGGTACAGAAAAGAGACATGTTTAATCACAGCTTAAAAGCATATTGCATCGATCTAGTACACTTATTCTGGGTTATTTGTCTGATGCTGATTTTAATCCCATTTTGGAACAGTAATTGAAAAGTTTATCAGTTATTTGACTAAGCATTGCTGTTCCTTCTCTCATCACAGCTCATATGTGCAGTATGAAAATGGTGTTCCTGGCCCAGCGTACCTCCAAAGCCTTAATGGACTATGCAGTAAGTGCAGACCCTCGCATGCTGCTGGCTGTGCAGAGACCCCTGACTGCCACTCGGGATGAGAATGGAGACACGTAAGCATTTTATTTCTTCTGTTGAATCTTAATAGACACAAATGGCTCAAAAAGGAGGATAAAGGATGGTAACTTACTAAAGATGTATATAGTTTGTAGCAGTCTGTTTTGATTTCTCTCACGTTGTGCATGATTGTCTTATGTAACAGAAATGTAGTTTGAGTTATGTGGAAATGAAAGCAAACCCTAATAACTTCTGAAGGGCCTGTGTCAATGGGCTATTGTTTGCCAAACCATCTTGTAGCAAGTTAAATACAGTTCAATAGGAGGTTATCTGCAGGTCAAATGCACCTCTCAGTGAATTCGGAACATTCTCTCAAGTGTCTCAGAAGATGTCAAACTGATGACATCAACACAAGCCCAAAGCCCATTGACACAAGCTCTGAAGCTCTTAAAATGTGTCACCAGTCAAAAACATTTTCTTTATCATTTTTTTTAATAGAACAGGGAATGGTTGAAACCTCTGTCAGGTTTTTATTGCTGTCTGAGTACTTGCTGGAGAGATGCCCTATCACTTCCTGCCTGGTGATAACATTCTGGGGGAAATGAATTATCCAAAGGGTTGTGCTTAAAAAAAAAAAAAAGATTTCCTACTACTTCCTGTCACTAAGACAAGAAGAGAGGGGAAATCTTTCCATTGGGGCTACAGAGAATCATACACTGTAACCCTACCTAACACTTAAACATAAAATGAACTTGCCTATATCACAGTAGGGCGAATTAATAAAGCAGGGTGCTGTAAATGAACATTTCTTGATTCTCGCTCCAAAGGCTGGAAGTTGCACTGTTCACATTTAGAATTTCCATTGGACAACATTTAAGAGCTGTACTGGTTTGAAGTGTCTAATGTAGTAATATATTTGGCATTTGCTTTCTCTTGTATACAAGCAGAATATGTACAAAATAAGAGAGAGTGCAAATCTATAAGTTACTTGGACTTCTAAATCTAAAAGTGCACCAGCACAGGGTCCTTCATGGCAATTCAGGCTTTAATTAAATCTCATTAGAAGAGAGGTCTAAGCAGCAGTATAGATACAGTTCAATGCAGTTACATGGTGACGTTTCTGCTCTGCAACAATCCTTCCTTAAATCCTCTGCTCCTGGTTTGAGGAACTATTGTTACAATCCTGAAATGTCATCATGTGACTTTATTGGGGGGTTATATGCTGCCAAGACCTTCTTTTTTTTAATGAGATTGAAAGAAAGTTTGTATGTTCTATGAAGTCTCTTTTGTGAGAGTGTGAGGTGCGAGTGGTGGACCCTAGAACATGAAACACAGATTCAACCTGGTAAATGCCACTTCTGGACCTCTGTGCCAGTTCTCTCCTGTGCCAGCTGATCAACATAAAATCTGCCCTGGTCAATTTACTCATCCTTATATACAGTATAGCATTTTAGTTATATACAGGTAACAAGAATCTTATATGCATGTAGTGTAAAAGCTGCTCATTAGTGTAAATGATTTTTCTTTCCAGGCCGCTCCACCTTGCTGTCATACACGGACAGACAGCAGTCATTCAGCAGCTGGTAGATGTCATGAAAGGGGTTCCACATCAGAAAGTCCTCAACATTTGCAACAACCTTCACCAGGTATTTATGGCTTCTCTTTTCTTCTTCTCTTTTTGTTTTGTTGTAGTTTTATCACTCCTCCACTTTTACTAAGCTGTTATGCTAGGGATAGTGTACTGTCTGATTAGAGATCTTCCAGAGTTCACAATGATCATTGATTTGATTGATGGATGTTACAGCAGAAAAACTTCATCAGGGTTATATTTAATCTTTCTAGGGTTACATCTATCTTTAGTTGTGGCTGTCTGTTAGAAAATACTTTGGAGTGATGCAGATATCATCCCTTAGTTCTGTGAGGTTACAGGTAACATGTAACAATGCTTGAATGGCTTTCTAGCAAGGGTCTGCAGAGAACAACATTACATTGAAGAAGCAGAGTTTGTATTGGACATTTCGTAATGCCATAAAGTATCTGTAAGAAAAAAACCTAAACCCATAAGGCCTGTCCACTAAATGAAGTGTATTGAAAGACAATAAATCTATATCATTCCCTATTGAATTGAGGGATTATAATAAAATGTTCCAAGAATGATTTATCCATGGCAGCCAGAGAGAATTGTTTTAGTATCCAATATGTTCTACTATAGCACCTAGCTGCTCCTTATATTCTATATACTGTACATTCCACCCTATTAAATAAAGTTACAATGGTCTCGCTTTAGCAAGTCAGTAGCCACCGTCCACCATCTCTTCTAAGGAAGCTTGTAAGACAGGTTTGCTGGGTTTTTAGTAAGTGGAGTACAGAGCTGGTTAGTACAGTTCCAATGGATGAGGAGATATATAAACACTTTGATCATTGAGCTGAAAGATCTGCCCTAGAATGGTAACAGTATGTCTCCTATCAGCGACACAATTGCTTCCCCTAGAATATGTTGGGGTTAAATCAGTGGCTATATAAGGTGTAATAACCATCTTCACATCTACAGAAACAATCCATGTAAATACAGAGCTACACGATCATGCTAGTTTTTATTTTTGACAATATTTATAACACGTGTTGAGCTCGGGAACGTTGCTATTTGGGGCAGAATATGTACGATCTTCGTTTTTAACTGAATATAATAATAATGATAACAATGACAATGATAACAAAATAATAACAATTATTATTTAAGGGTTTTTTTTCTTCGACATAAATGCTGTGTTTTCTTTCACAGACTGCTTTGCATCTTGGCGTGATCACCAAACAATACCAAACAGTTGCTTTCCTGCTAAGAGCTGGATCAGATCCCACTGTCCTTGACCGTTTTGGAAACTCAGTGCTACATTTAGCTGTTCAAGCCAAAGATGATAAAATGCTTCAGGTTCTCTTAGATCACCAATTCAGTGGCTACAAAAATCTCCTCAACATGCCTGATTATCATGGTAAGGAACAAAGACACCTCCAGGGGGATTCAGTATAGCCTTTGTCACAGATTTCTGCCGTTATTGTTGTTATGGGAAATGTAGCGCCATATTCCTGCCAGTCTTGTGAGTCTCCTAGTTTGTTCCAACACATGTAATAAGTTCAAATAGTCTGGGTTTGTGACACTTTACTTATAGGCTGCAAATAAGGGCCGTGCTCCCACCCTCCAGCACTGGGTGGTAGAATGTTGTTGGGAGCACATGCAACCCCCATGACTCCATATTTGTCGCAGGACATTTGTTGTGCAGAGGAAAGATAATTCTAGAGTGTCTGGAACACCCTTTAAAAATTCCCAGGCTTGTGTATAAATCAGTTGGACTGTCCATGCACGTTTTTTAGGATTCGAACAGCCTTTTCTTTTATATTGATAATATGTTTTTCTTTTACGCAGACTACAGTGTGGTTATGTCTTCAAAATGAAATGACAACCCTGTGATATCTGAATTTAGTATCTTTGGCTTTACTTGCAGGCCTGTATCCAGTTCACTGGGCAGTAAAGGTGGAGAATGAGAAATGTTTAGAGCAGCTGGTGAAAAGTGGTGCTGATGTCAATGCTGCAGAACGGAAGAGTGGGAGATCCCCGCTGCACATTGCTGTGGAAATGAACAAACTGAATATGGCTGTTACCCTAATCAAGAAGGTAAGAAAAGGGATCACTTGTATTTCTTGTCTCTGGGAATCGATTGTTTGTACAAAGTAAATAAAGAAGCTGCACTATGTAGTTCTATTGCTAACAATTGTGTGTTTTCTTAGCTGGGGGCAGATGTAAACGCTCAAACCTTTGGAGGGAATACTCCACTGCATCTGGCTGCTAGTATGGGATCTCCAGTGCTGACAAAGATGCTCATCAATGCAGGCGAGTCAGCCATCTCTTCTCTGACACATGTTTCTGAGTACATTGTTATGTTGGGAGTGATGTAGAAGGCCTATGGTAATACTCTGTGCATTACCTTGGATGTTTTATACACAGTGGATACTATCTATATCCTGGAATACAAACCTTATGAATATTACACTATAATAAAACAGTTTTTTAATGTTGTGACACACTCCTAGATCAGCCATTGTTGTCTCTACCTGCATGTCTACTGATATTCAGTCAGTAGGTTAAAGCAGGTATTATGTAGCAGGCGGTATCACCATTGACACATGATATATCTCAGCCTCCTCAATAGTTGGAGCTTCATTGTTTAACTAGTTTTCTTGTGCTCCTTTAGGTGCAAATGTCTTAATGGAAAATGATGAGCCAGTACATAGCACAGCATGCAGTGACAGTGATGAAACAGACAGTGATTCTGATGTGTCTATGGATACTGACTCTGACCAGCAAGGAGACAGTGATTCTGAAGACAGTGGAACCATGGATACATATCGAGAGAATGAAAGAATACAATGTGGCGCTAAGAGGCGTTATCCTGGACACACTCCGCTGGATCTAACCAAAAGCCAGAAAGTAAGAATGCCATTGTGCTTATTCAGAGTCTCAAATATGTTTAAAGTATATGTAGAAAGATAACCGCTTGAAAGAAATAATCGGATCCTGGTGCCGTAATGTTTGAAAAGCTTTGTTTCTGTGTATAGTTTGCATACACTCTATATATGTAGGTGGGGCAGCTTTGCAGTGCTGTTTGGGTATTCAGACTGCTACAGGTTTCGGTTGTTTGAATTCAAGAGCTGGAAGGGGAGATTCCATCATACAGGCTGCGTAACGTGGATGGGGAATCAACTGATTTCTTTCCTTCAGCCCCATGGGCCAAATGAGAGAACTCTAAATGTGCATGGGCAGCGTAATCCAATGTGGCTCCCCATGTGGCTGATATCTTAGCTCAAGTGTTGTTAAGCAGTTAGAGTCATTTGAGTAGCTGGCCTGGCCAGACTTTAAATCTTTATGTTTATTACAGTAACAAAAACATGGAAGATGAATCATGTACAGCTGTGAAAGTCACATATAGAAACAGTCAGTGTATGTCCCCTTTAAAGGATAGTTCTAGACCAGTGGTGGCGAACCTTGGCACTCCAGCTGTTTTGCAACTACAAGTCCCATGAGGCATTGCAAGGCTCTGAGAGCCACAGACATAACTCCCAGAGGCAAACGCATGTTGGGATTTGTAGTTTTGGCACAGCTGGAGTGCCAAGGTTCGCCACCACTGTTCTAGTGCATGTCCAGTGATTATTGTCATTCACCTCCTGCACTTTTACAGAGATTACAGTATTCTTACCTTTAACAAAGACTAGATGATTTCTTACAATTGTTCCTTGTTTAAAGCTGACAACACTCACCATCCTAAATTCTATTTCAGGTGCGGGATATCTTGTGTAAACACCCAGGTGGGTGTGCATCTTCCAAGCCAACTGAACAAACACCAGGTAGAGCCCATCATCTTCTGTGTGCTGTATTGTAATGGATGATTACTACTTACCAATCCAAAGGACTATTTGCCCCATAGTCATGGTTAGAAACCTGTATGAATATGAAGGTCAACATTGCTGAACAGTTATCTGCCTGCCTGGTAAAACATTTGTATTCTGGGAGAGTACAATAAACTAAACTAAAGGCAGGTTCAGAGACAGGGAGACGAAAAACAATGCTGGGAATATGTTTGCATCTACTGACGCCAATCCTGGGGGTTATGATTGCGTCCACTAGCAACAACGCAGGGGGTTGTTATTGCTTCCGGTGGCACCAATACTGGGGAATATTATTGTGTCCAGTGACACCAGTGCTGGGGGTTAATAATATTGCCTCCATAAGTGTGGAGGGCACAGTTTGACAGCTTCATATCAGGTACCCGATGACCTAGTCCCGGCACTGGGTGTATGACTGCTATGGCATGGTGACCAATATCAGTATACAGGTGAAACTCGAATAATTAGAATATCGTGCAAAGTTAATTTATTTCACTAATGCAACTTAAAAGGTGAAACTAATATATGAGATAGACTCATTACATGCAAAGCAAGATAGTTCAAGCTGTGATTTGTCATATTTGTGATGATTATGGCTTACAGCTCATGAAAACCCCAAGAACCCCAAATCCACAACCTCAAAAAAGTAGATTATTACATGCAATCAATAAAACAAGGATTGTACATAGAACAATATCGGACCTCTGAAAAGTACAAGCATGCATATGTACTCAGTACTTGGTTTGGGCCCCTTTTGCAGCACTTACTGCAATTACTTCTGCACGATATTCTAATTATTCGAGTTTCACCTGTATATAGATTTTGTCTTCTTGTTTGTTTTTACAAATTTTACAAATGTAAATTGCACTTGGGGAGCTTTTATTTAACATTTACAAGGAAAGGCTCGGAATGATAGGCTTTGTTATTTTGTATCCCAGCTGGAAGCTGTAATGAGGTATTGGAATGACCTTTTCTGATTGCATTCTAGTGAATGTGCTCTCCCTGGAAACCAATACTGTAGAACGCCTTGAGAAACTACTGAACGAGGGCCAGACGGGATCAGACTGGACTGAACTTGCTTCACGGCTGAGACTTCAGAGTTTGGTGGACACTTATAAAAATACATCGTCCCCTACAGAGAACCTTCTGCGTAGTTATGAGGTAGGTTTCATCGCCGGCCAGGCTATTTCTTCAGAGTGGAACACTGTCTTTGATACGTCTGTCTTGTCATACAATGGCTCTGTGCATATTATGTTAGTAAATAGTATTATTTCTGTTTTTTTTTAACTTTCCCTTCCACATAGCTTGCTGGTGGAAGTCTCACTGGGCTGATTAGAACACTAGAGTCCATGGGAGTGAATGAAGGCGTGCAACTTCTGCGCAGCTCGGAGACATTCGTGAAGCAGGCAATTGAAGGTACGCCTTTGCACAAATTGAAAACATGGCCTAGTTTCTCATATGCTGTATAACGTGAGGTGCATGCCAGCGGAAAAATGTACCAGCAACAGATTTCTGTAATACTATTTCAGAGCAGAAAAAAAATGCACGCACACCTTGGGCACCTTTCACTTCTCCCTAGACCTCTCCTATATTAAAATTCCCTGGTCGGTAGAATTCTCCATACTGCCATCCATCCACAATATGTCTCCAAGTCCATGTCGCAGGTTAGGGAGGTTTAGCACATTTTGTTTTGTAGTAAAGGCCACTGGATAATTTGCATATTCCCTGAATAGATAAGGTTATCTCATATCTCTCTTATTTGCTTAGGGAGACTATTCTCTAATAACTTGGGGAGAAAATGTTCACATTTGCATATCACTATAATATGTAAATACACCATAAGTCGCTTATTGTTCAAAAGTGGCTTCACAGGTGGTGGGCGTTAAGAGCTCTTCTGTGACCTCCCCCCTTACTGGGGGCACATGGCTTCTGATAGGTGCAGAAAACCCGGGTTCCACTGCTCCACTGCTCATATCCAGTCCAGCCAACTAGCAAGTACTGGGTTGGGGGGTTGTCACCAGTGGTCAGACAGTCTCACCTCAAACCTTCTTTGTACAGTACATTGCAGCCCAGTATACATATATATATATATAT